CCTGGAGTGTTGCTGGTACATTTATTAGATGCTGTATTACTCCTAGGGGCCCCTGGGTGGTACAAATTATTAACACACTTGGCTGTTGACTGGAAGACTGGAGGTTCACATTTACCCAGAGGCCCCTTGGAAGACAGTGCTGGTGATTGGCGTCTGAAAATTCAGCCATTGAAAACTCATGGGGCATGGTTCTACCATGACCCACATGGGATGCAGGAAGTAAGGATCAACTCAACAGCAATTGTTTGGGTTTTTTGGTAGGACGGACTCCTAGTGGTTTTGTAGAAGCTATCTCTGAAAAGTCATAAAGTTCTGTTAATTTAGATTTTATGTTAAATCTTGAATTAAGTGAGACTCTTGCTTTGACTCCCACCCATTGTCATTGAGTTGATTCCAACTTATCATAAGGTAGAGTAGAACTTCCCCAAAGGTTTTCCAAGGCTGGAATTCTTTAAAGAAGCAGACTGCCACATCTTTCTCCTGTTGTACTGCTGGGGAGTTGAAAGTGCTCACCTGTCAGTTAGTAGCTGAGTGCTTCTCCACTGAGCCACCAGGTTTCCTCTCTCTTTGACTAGCACACTATTAACCAAAGGAGCTCTGGTAACACAACAGTTAAGTGCTTGGCTAATTCAGTTAACTGAATTGTCAGTGGTTTGAACCTACCAGTGGCTCCACAAAACAAAAGACCTCCAATCTGCTTTTGTAAAGTTAAAATCTAGGAAAATCTAGGGAGAGTTCTACTCTTTCCTATAGGATTGCTGAGTTGAAATTGACTTGATGGCACAAAATATGTGTCTGAAGTCCAAATTATGCACTAGGAATTATGGAGAACCTTTTTTCTCAGCCTCAGTAATTCTTCCTGGCCTTTTAAGTTCACTAAGAGGTAAATCTGCAGACATTAGAGTAGGATATTAGATTCCTGAGTTTGAGTTTAAGGGTCTGGAGGGTTTCTATTCTGCCAAGTTGACAGCTTACCTTCTCAGAGCTACTCCCTGGGAGAGGAGAATTCTAATTTTACCTGCAATCTCTGCAGTATCCCACTGATCTCCACCCTAGAGCCAGAGACTTTAATGTACATAGGACTGACAGCAACTACAGGGGTGCTACAGCCTCACCTGAACCCCAGGCATCAAGTGTGAAACACTCCAGGTGACTCATCAGTACTATTGCTGATGTGAACCTCCAGTCTTCCGGTCAACAGCCAAGTGTGTTAATAATTTGTACCACCCAGGGGCCACTAGGAATAATACAGCATCTAATAAACATACCAGCAACACTCCAGGCTATGAAAGAGAGGGGAGAGTGGAGAGCGGGGAGGGAGGGAGAGAGAGAGAGAGGGAGCAATGGTATTCATCAGTACCATTATGACTTGTCAGAGATAGCTTCTACAAAACCACTAGGAGTCCGTCCTACCAAAAAACCCAAACAGTTTGCTGTTGAGTTGATCCTTACTTCCTGCATCCCATGTGGGTCATGGTAGAACCATGCCCCATGAGTTTTCAATGGCCGAATTTTCAGAAGCCAATCACCATTGCTACTACTATCTGAATTGGAATTGTTTTCCTAGCTTATGTTTTTCATACCATTCCTCCCTATTGTAACACCTGATACACCTGCTGTGGAAATTCTTTCATATATGTGATGGTAGAATAAGACTCTACATTCAGTCTTCTACCTGTACAGTTTCTAGAGTTTATCAGAGTGGCTTGCTTCCTCTTGGTGCATTGATCTGTTTGGAACCACATCAAGGTTGGGGACCTCAGGTTTGTCCTGGAGGCATACTTGGGAAAATTAGTTTCTGCAGAATTGAATCCAAGGGGCAGTGCTGGGCTTGGCAACAGATGTGCCTGGGTTGACAACCCCACTCTGCCCTTAACCAGCATGTCACCCATTTATCTAACCTCTTTAGAGCTTTAGTTTTCTCACATGTGAAATAAAGCTGATAATATTGCCTCTGCTTGCCCCATAGAGTAGTGTAAATATAAAAAGAGAAAGTGTGTGAAACAACTTTGCAAATTGGAAAATGGTGTTCCAATGAAGCACTGAGTAAACATTGAGCTCTATATTGTTGTTGTTGTTATGTGCCATCGAGTGGGACCTGACTCATAGCAACCCCTCCTTGGGTTGCCAAGGCAGTATCACTATGGAAGTAGATTGCCCAACCTTCCTTCCGAGGAGTGGCTGGTGGGTTTGAACTGCCAGCCTTCTGGTTAGCAGTCAAGTGCCTTAGGCCTGTGCTACCAGAACCCTCCAATTGCTATCTAGTCAGCTCCCACTTATGGTGACCCATGTGTGTCAGAGCAAAGCTGTACTCCATAGGGTTTTCATTGGCTGTGGTCCTTCGGAAGTAGGTCAATTTTCAAGGTACCTCTGAGTGGACTGGAACCTCCAATCATTCATTTAATAGACAAGCATGTTGACATTTACATCCCTCAGGAGCTCCTATATAAAGTTAGGGCTGGCTATTAGGCATTTTGAGTGGTTAAGTGCTCAGCTGCTAACCAAAATGTCAGTGGTTTCAACCTACCAGCTGCTTTGCAGGAGAAAGATGTGGCAGTCTGCTTCCTAAGGATTTACAGCCTTAGAAACACTACGTAGTAGTTCTACTCTGTCCTATAGAATCAATGTGAATCAGAATTAACTCAATGGCCATGGGCTTTTGTATTAGGCATTTAGAGGTCCCTTTGGAAGAAAGATGGGGCAATTTACTTCTGTAGTGATACCACCTTGGAAACCCAATGAAGGGGTCGCTCTGAGTCAGATCCGATTCAATGGCGGTGAGTTTGTGTGCCCTTGGCTACTAACCTAAAGTTTGGTCATTCAAACTTACCCAGAGGTGCCATGAAAGATCTCCTTCTATAAAGGTGGTTGTTATGGCCAAGAAAACCCTATGGACCGGTTCTGCTCTGTAACACATGAGATTGCCATGACCCAGAATCAGCTCAACAGCAATGGAGTTTTTTATTTGGCATTTACTGTCCTCTGGCTTCCTGGACTTGGGGCAGGAGGCCTGTGCACAGTGACAGCAGAATAAGTCTTGTCCATAGAGTGACTGTCCCCAGCAGGTGTTAACACTCCAGCACCAAGCAGACAAGTTGCTCACAAACTCACTACCATTGAGTCAGATCTGACTCATAGTGACCACTCCTTGGGTTTCCCAGGTAGTATCACTATGGAAGTAGATTGCCCAGCCTTCCTTCTGAGGAGTGGCTGGTGGGTTTGAACTGCCAGCCTTCTGGTTAGCAGTCAAGTGCCTTAGGCACTATGACACCAGAGCTCCTAAGTTGCTCACAGTGTTGCAAACTTGAGAGGACCTGACCTCCTGGGGGTGTTAGCATCAGCCAAGTGCCACTACGTGCCTAACATTGCACCAGAGCTTTAGATAAACCATTTCATCCCAGTACAGGACCTTCTGAAATTATAATTCCGATTGGTGGCATAGTGCCTAATGCATTTGACTGTTAACCATTTGTCTTTGCTCTGGATGAGGAGAGACCAACTGTGGCATCTTAGATGGCTGCTTGCAAGGTTTTAAGACCCCAGTCACTACTCACCAAAGTAGGATGTAGAACAGCATTTTTGTGTTACATGTTATGCCAGTTGAGCTGGATGTCTTCTGCAATTATGGACCCTAGCCCACAGGCCCAACAACTTGTTCCCTCAGGCTAGTTAAGTTATCATACTTTGCCCCATGTTAGCTTTATTATATATATATGAATATTCTTATAGCACATACAAATATGTCCATAGAAATATTATCTGTCAAACATATACAATCATGGGTGTATTCCCTTTTGCCTGGACATACCTGATCTATCTGTCTACCTATGTATTCACCTGTAGATTAATGTTTATTACTGATAGTGTAGTATTGTACATGTAAAAGTATTTATCTTTGCTGTCTGTACCTGTTGTCTACCTCTCCATGTCTTCCTTTTCCTTAGTGTTATTGTGCTGGTCACTTGCTTTTGGTGTATTGCCTTTCCTTTCACCCAAATCAATACTTGTCTCTTACCTGTATAGCAATTTTCCCTCCCCTCCCCTTCCATCCTGGGTAACCAACAAAGAAAGTTTCCTTCCATA